ATTTATCAATAATCTATTTTTAGATTATGAATAAACCTTTTTGAAATTGTTGTTATTTATGTGTTTCAATTAGATAATATGGAAAAACCTTGTTTGTTGTTTTGATTTGTTTATTTATTTATATTGATGATCCTATTCTACTTTGAGAGTTGTTATCATGCTTATGTAAAGTATCGATCAACTTATTTAGATAATAAATTATACATGTATATGCATGTTTTGTTTGTTCCTTTTATATATATACTTGTTTTGCTTGTCTGTCTTTTACATGTTCATGTTCACATAACAAGTTAAAGAATAGGTATGTTGTTTATGTGTATATGTACGTTTAGACTATCTTGTCTTTAAGGAGCTTTGATATTCTTCTGGATCTTTAAGTAACTGAAACAACTAGATTTATCAAGTGGGCTTAGTTGCTTTTTGGATTTCTTACAGTATCAAGAAAGGTGTTAATCTGCACTGGCCTAGCTGTGAGCTATGTGAAGTTAATATTGGCTTCCTCTTTCTGACTGTAAATCCATTTACAAGTCTCTTTTTTTTTTCATAAAATTTTTAAGAAAGAAAAGTAAAAAAAAGTTAGTAAAGCAGTATATACCTCTTTTCTTAATATTTCTAGATAACTTGTTATATGTATGTTGAAAGTGCTTGATAGCTTGGTTCAAAGTATATGTTGTTTTTCCTTGTATATTTGAACTGATTCAATTTTTCAAGAAAATTATCAAAAAAGAAAATTTTTGAAAAAAATAAGGATCAACGGAAAGAGTTCTTTATTTTTTTATAATTAATTTCTAATGTATCATCAATTAAATCCTTTTTTATCTAAATATGTATATACTTATCTATTTGTGTATCTTATTTTAAATTTAATTCCTTATAAAAAAAGATAACACTTAGCCTTGCAGTCAATATATCCTATTGATTACTATTAGTATTAATGATTAATAAGGATTTTTTAGACATTCCAGTCAGTTCACATGTTACTGTTAATATTTTTGAACTTAAGTTTTGATTGATACAGTAATATTAACCTTTTAGTCTTTCAGCTTAGAATTTTTTGAAATAGGGTGAAAACTTTCTAGATTGCTTTTTGTACAAGCTTTAATACTGAATATTCCTGATAGTTTCATATTTTCTTTGATTTAAACTTTTCTGAATAGTAGAGATTGAAATCTATCTGATACACAATTAGAATATAGGCAGTTCTGACTTAAAAAATGGTCAATAAAGTGTCTTGTGACCTTTATCATGGTTGGATAGATTCTTTTTTGTATTTAATAATATATATGTGACATATCCTATATCTATCTACACCAACATATATAATTTATAGTAAATCTTAGGTGGTAGCTTTTAAAGGCTACAATATTAGTAAAAAGGTAGAAAAATAAATTTTTTAACTAAAACAAAACCTTAATTGTTTCTTCAATATTGTTAAGAGGTGATAAGTACTTTATTGTTGGTCCTTTTTCCTTTAGAAACTTTCTTACTATTATAGTAAAGATAAGAGCCAAACTTTGCAAGCTACAAAGTTCAGTTTATTCAAAGAAGATTGTAAATAAGATATAGAAAAAGTGAAGAAATTCTAAAAAAACTTTTTAGTTAGTTTAAGGAAAGTGGTTAGATTCTTTTAGTAAAGAAGTATTAAAACTTCTTGTGAATATCTTTTTTATGTATAGTCAAAAGATTAGTGGAAAAAGTTTGATTAAAATATTATATCTAAATAGAATAATATTATATAATTTAATAAAAATAAGTTAAAGTTTTTAATCAATTCTTTTTGCTAATCCTTTGATCACACACAAAAAAAATGTTTGTAAGAAGTTTTTATACTTCTAAGCTAATAAAATTTTATCACTTTTCTTAAACTAACTTGAAAAAGCTTCAAGTATTATCAACTACTTTCTCTTCCCTTGCTTACTATTCTTTTCAAACAAAACTTGATCTTTAGTAACCATAAAGATCAAAAAAAACCTTTTCTACCAATGGCAAAAAAGTTCTGAAAGAAAAAAAAACTAATGTGCCAACATCTCACACTGTATAGAAATATCATAAAAGTGTGTCTAATAATAAGAGACAACTTTTCTACTCTCTTGTCATTTGTTTACTTCTTATAATGCTTATTCTTGATTTTTTTTGGTGAATTTTGCCTACTTCAATTCGATCCTGAATTTTGAGTAGCACAAAGTTTCTCATATCATGATTGGATAGATAGTACTCACATTAGTAAAAGAATGTAAACAAGTTTTCATTGGTCACCTTATGTATCTAAATGTATTTCTTCAACTCCATAAGAATCTGGAGTTCACCATAAATCATTGGATCTAATGTGGATAAATACAGGATACCATCCCATTTACATTATTTGTTTCTTCAAGAAAAAGTATGTTTGATCATAGTAAAGGTCATAAGATACTATAACTGGATTTTATAGTTGTATCTATCTACTTTTAATTACTGAATAGGTTCCTTCTTCAACTTTGTCGAATAGATAAAGATTTGAAACAAAGTCCTTATAGCAAAGTTAGATTTTATGGCAAGTGAGATGTATAGAATTAAATTTTTTTTGAGGGGATGATATATCTTATCTGAGTACATGTGTTAGAAGGAATTTAGGAGGATTAGTAAATCTTCTTTCCTGATGTGCGAATAAGATTGATTTGAGTAATTCTTTTCAATAACAAGCCATCCTGTGGATTGGGGTGATTAAAATTTTACAACATGGAGATACTGAAAAGTAGCTGAGGAATAGGCAATATATTCTTGATCAATGAAGCTCTCGAAGAGTAATTAGCTTATAGAATCAAAGTGATAGTAATAATGTAAAATTTTAATTTTTATAGACAATTTTAGAAGTGTTTATTAGTAATTATCTCTTGTATTTGCATCTTGTTTTTACTTGAAACTTTAATAAAACAAGGTTAAATCACCGTCGCAAAAAAAAAAAAAAAATTAAAGTTCTTAATATAAATTAATATAATAAAAATTTAATAAACAATATAATTTTAATTGTTTAAAACTTACTTTTAAAGATAATTATAAACTACAAAGTAAATAGAAGAAGTAAGAGATAATGAAAACAAAACCTTATAAAAATCATAAAAAATGTGATTAAATATAGAATAAAATAGTTGGGTTTTGATCTTTATTAAAATTTCTAAAAGTGATCTGCAATAGTGATCTGTAGGTGATAATGTTAGAAGTTGAAAGGATTTTTATCTGAACTATTAATGAAGTAATAAATTACTTCAAAAGTTGTATTTAAAGTTTTGAATAAAAATTTTTATGAGTGAATTAATTAAAGATTTAGTTTTAACCTTTTATATCAATATATAGCCTATAATTATTTAATAAAGTACACATAATTAATCTAATAAAGGGTTAAAAAAAAAAAAAATAATGATAATAAAAATAAAGATAATTATAAATCAATTATGATTTGAGATTATTTTATAAACAATTAATTAGAATTATTAGTAATTTATAACTTAAATATTGATTATTATATTGAAATTCTTTAAAATAATCTCGAAGAATTTAAAATTCTTTTAGAAAATAAATGATATGTTACTCTTATTTATCAAGATAATAATACAAAAATTCATAATAAACAAAAGTAAAAAAAACCTATAAATAAAAAGAAAAAATTATATTGAATCTTTATCATAATTAATCAACTCAATTATTAAATCTTAATCCATTAGAAAATTTTTGAAAAATTCTTAAAGATTCAACTCGACAGTGAAAGTTATTTTCAACAACAATAATGTACCTTAAGATAACATTACAAGAAGAGCGGAAAAAATTAGAATGTTATTTTGTTTAATTTAGTTAAAAGTATATCAAAAAGGATTAAATTAGTAATTAAAACATATTAAATATTAAAATTCAATTAAAGTGATAGAGAAAAATCTTAAGTTGAAAAAAAATATAGAATGCAATTTAATAAAAAAAAAGATTAATCAATATACAGTATTTCTTTTATTTGCTAAAATTTTTTTGCAAATAATAAATACTTTTTTTTGAATTACTGCACATTCATCCCATTCATTTATATACCCGCTCGTTTACCTATACATCCATTTACTTATTTATCTGCCCATTATAAGAATCGGATGAACAGAATCACGGTTCAGTTCGGTTTTGAGCCAAATCAAATGGTTCAATTTTGTTCATGCTTTTAAAAACCGATTGATTCGGATTTAACTCACCACATGAAAACTTAATTCCTTATGAAGTCGTTAATATCAAAAATAATTTGATTCGATAATCGAATCAATCATTAATAAACCAATTCGACAGTTGGATAAATTTTGATTCAATTTGCCAAATAATCGGTTTGATTCGTTAAATCGAATCAAAATTGCGATCCCTAGTGATAACAAAGGTATGTTCATTCTATATACTGTATATTCAATAGATTACTTGAGAACAAGCGAAAAATTAGAATATTCCTAGTTTGATAAATTCCTTGTTGTTGACCTTCTCATGACAATGCAATCAGACTTACAGTAAATTGATAATTGGATTGTGATTTAAACTGATCTTCCCAAGCATGATACTTATCCTCACAGTGTTTAAAAGAATGTATTGTACGTATGCACAGGACACAGTTACAATTTCTTAGTAGATAATTTTGAATTTAATATCTCATCAGATTGTTATGAAACCACGTGTGGGGGGTTTTTTTTTTTACCATTTCACACGCGAGAATTAAAAATAAACACCAATAGATGCTGAAGCAATAAGTAACGTCACATTCGAAATTTAATGGGCGTCGCGATTGTACATGTATCCAATAAATCGAGTCGAGGCCCACTTTAAAAAATCTGAAAATTTCTGAAAGAATAGCAAGAATGAATGTATTGTAATTTGAATTACATTTAGTAAAATTGAAACTACCGATAAAAAACAAATGACAACTTATCGTGGTCAAAATCATAAAGGATTTTGCGGCAACAGATTATTTGTTTTCGATCGATTAAGAAACATCTCTGCTGTGAATGGAATTTCCAAAAACGGTGCTTTCAGAATCACCAAGGGTTCGTGGCGCAAGAACGTTAAGTTATGTGAGGGCTTATCGTTTCTATGAGTGATTTTGTGCTATCGTATTTCCATATTGGACAAACAAGAAAAATTCAGCAAGATTCTGTAAATTTCAAACACCATTATGTTTTCATTTCTTAACGCGGTACTTGATTATTACAAGACGTCTTTAAATGCTAAATCTTTTCATGAATCACAGTAGCAGCAAAATAGGATATTTGTGATGAAGCCTTCACAATTTAAACACACCATCCTTCCTTATTTGCCTTCTCTGTGCTCCATACCTTTCACGCTTTTCATAATTTTCCCCTTGATATCTCTACTCGCATTCCCATCTCAGGGCTACAACATTCTTGATTTTCAGAGTTCACAGGCTGCCAATCTCACACCTTACGACGTAGAAACTTATGGCGATGGCACAATTTTGATCCAGTTAATATCTCCTCACAATTCAAGTTGTGCTGAACCTGTTCTATTTTTTCAAATAATACATCCGAATGGGACAAGTTCATCCATTTCCATAAGACCCTCGGAAATCCCGTTGTTTAATTTTTGTCAAACGGAGATCAATGGGGTACGCGGATATTATATTCAAGTGTACCCGCTGGTACATGATTTCATTTTTATCACCTATGTAAACTCGAGTGATCCCTCAACGGCCGCAGTATATGGACTTTTGGCTTCTTTTAATCAGAGTATTATTAGGTAGCTAATAATCGGCATTTTTTGAACGCTTCCCAATTAGTGTAACGGTAATATCCAATCTTTCAAAAAAAATTTTAGCACGACATATTTACAGGAGGCTTCTGTTGACCATAATGGGACTGTTCAACCGCCGGGTTCTATATATTATTCCAAATATATGGCGAATACTGGATTTTTGTATGTTGGTTTGCAGAAAAATACCGGGCATATTGCGTGGAGTCATTTTACCACACCGTAAGTTTTTAATGAGCAAGCTGTTGTTATTAAAGCGATTTCCTTTTTTTTTTTTTTTTAGCAAGCATATTGTTTAAGTTCGAATTCTCATGCACACCTTGTTTTAAAAAAACAAGAAAATTAGAAAACAACTACAATATCACGCTCGTTCATAGTGATTTAATATACAATGATGGAGGCAGCTCAGTAGCCGTCACATTTTCCGGTTTCCCCGGTGCTTCCGGTGGATTCGGCTTGGTGGTGTCGCGTGTCTACGGTCGCGAGCTACCTTACGATCTCGTCTCCTCCACACATAGTTCACCACCAACATCAGATCCCTCCATGAGTAAGTCGAGTTCCGTGGATGATCCAGTAGATATTCATTTAAAGGTCACCGCATCATTCATATTTCCTTATGGTGCGGGCATCACGACACAGTTCGTGATCTATTCGAATCCGTTCCCGGATCTGGACGTGCTTGCGATGACTTGCAATGTGGATCACGGAGGAGATGGGAATGTGTGTCAGTTGTATCTTTTGCGTAAGGGAAACGTATCAGATCCATATGCTTTGAAGATTGTCTTCCAGTCCATTGGGTAATTTAGAAAATAAATAAACTTTTTTCGAGATTAAATTTGGGTAAAATAGGATCTCTTTTTTTTTTAAACAGGACGGTAAGGTTGATACAAGAAATTTACGCGGAAAACGTGGTAAACGCTGATAACGTACGGATTAATGCATTGATCAACGAAGGGTACGTGAACATAGCATTCTACATCGTTCCAAATTTGTCAATCAATTATCATGTAATGATGCTGGAAAAAATAGATACTTACTAACAGCTCGCATGCTCGCAACGCAATACGTATACGGGTACATTTTGAATTCGACAGGGGGTGTCATGGGTAATTGGTAAGTAATCGGACGATTGAAATAATTTTCGAATTAAAGCGAGAAATTTTTCTATTCACAAAATTATTTCTTACATCAAGGACCTTACCACAGCCAGTGATGCTACCTTCAAACCCCCATGTGTACGACTTGCTTCCGAATGATACAATGGTTTCCCTGGCACTGGACAATACAACGAATAGAATAATATTAGTTTCATCCGACTTGACAAAACGATATTCGTCAGACCGTAGGTATACTCCTGGTCTTTAACATGAGCTTTAAAGATTCTCCCTTTAGGCACTTTAACTCGTAAAGAAATTTCTTTTATTTTCAGCATACTCCAACCCTCAAATAAATTCTACCTATCCACATACGAATGCTCAAATCTCCTTCCGTAGCACTCGCCTGAATATCACCTATCAGAACCCCGTTTCGCTCTCAACGCAAAACATCAGCGTCTTCCGATCTACCGAAGCAAGCAACGGAACTGATCTACTTAGACAAACCTACTCTGGCCAATCGGGTTTTTGTGAATTAAGTAAGGACCGAAGAACAGTCACCATCACCGTATTCGGCTCAACATTCAACGAACCCAACACCAAGTATTATGTTGCGATTGACCCAAATTTCGTGGTGTTGAACATGTCGAATGAACCCCTCTTGGGTGTACGAAAAGGAGTTTGGAATATGCGAACAGGCGAAGCCGGGAAGGAACTTTATTCTGGTTTGTTACTAGAAAATTCGAGGCAACCTGCGAGTATGTTAAAAATTATTTATCCGGCGTGTGGCCCTAGAATTCACGAAAACCTCACTTCACAGAATCATTGTTCGTCTTGCTCCGTTTAACACCCGAAGGCACAAATTTCTTCAAAACCCTTTCTTCGGCCGATCAATTTACGTTCTTCGCTTCTATCAGTTCAGAACTTGCACAAATAATTCCTACCGGGGAGAACCAGTTGCTTCCATTAAATCGATATCAATATGACGCCACTTCGAACGGAATAATTTTCGCTATCTCCATTGCAGATACCGCCATTCTATCTGAACAGAATTCTTTTCACGTACTTGAAGACTTGAATACTTTGATTGTCGAGAGAGACTTTACGGCTATTTCGAAGATGAAAAATGCGAGTTTCTTAGATGCGAAATATGGAGCAGTGCAAAGAAGCAAGCTATTTTAATTCCTCTTTTTATATAATTTTTACATTCTTTATTAATTTATTATTATTACTGAAGATGACTTGTGGAAGAAAAATAAGAACGAAATCATAGGTTTCTCTTCCGGACTCGCGTTATTGGCATTGGTATTTTTTATTTCCTATCGCAAGAACCGTCAGGTCCGTGCGCCATAATTCTTAAAACTTTCATCTTCGCATGTCGCACTCGTTGCTTCGGTCTCGTCTCGCCGTTTTAATCGCCATTCGTTTCACTTTAAAATAAGGCTCAAAATGGCGTGATACTTAAATTCACTCTGATAGTGTTTGGCTTTTGTCTCAATGTCATTTTCACTTTTACAAGCGCTCGTAATATTGAAATCCTTTATATTTCAAGGTTTGCACAAAATGATTTTTCTACTCACCGTTTACATGTGATACTCAACGGCTTGGTTATTTTTGAATCGTAACTTCAAAACAGTTTGTCGATCCTCGTTGTTGTATTCGTCCTGGAAGAAATCTCCGGGATTCTCTTAATAGTCCAAGATGTCAACGCGAACTCTCAATTTTACGATTGGTTCAAAAGTAATATCCCTGTCGTTACGATATTCACAATATTATCCGGTGTAGATACTTACGCACTAAGAATTCTCTCTTCCGGTTTTTGCGGACTGAAAATCTTTAGTGCTCCTTATACAGAGAAAGCGCGGGATAGTTTTTTGCGGATGGAGATGGTTTCGTTTTTAGCGAAGGATGTCCCACAACTTGTTATCCAGGTATGGAATAAACAAAGAGATCAATTCCCTGCATAAAATAACCGAAAAAAAAAAGATTCTTATCTCTCGACTCACTCAAAATTAAAGATTCTTTACCTGACGTGGATTCTAAATTATGAAATCGTTCCACTGATGACGCTCATAATAACTTCAATTGTCGTCTTAAACGACCTGATCCAAATTCTATACCATTTGAAGAACTGGTATGCGAAAAGAAGACATCGGAACAGATCTATTGGTGTTCGTGGGATCTCCGGTGGCGGCGTTGACGATGATAATGAGCACGACAAACATTTTACAAAGTTTGGTGACACTGAAAAAAATGACAATATTGAATACGGGGCTACAGGAGAAACGGAGACAAGATTAACGCCTGAGGACATTGGTGATGTAGGAGTTGCGTTAAGGGAAATCAGTAGTGGTGAAAGGAAAGGGGTTTACGTCAAGGGAAATGTGAACGTTCGTTCTTTTTCTAGTGATATAATCGTCACGAAATCTCCATTGATGGAGGTGGCAGGGGAGAAAAGGTCAATTAAGACGACGGTGATCGAAGAGGAGAGGGTGATGGAAGGAGGGAGGACGACGGTTGAGTCGACGGTGGTAAAAGAGGAGGAGACGACAACTGACATGACGTAGGGAAGCGAACGGTAAATCCATTCACGAGCGAATCACCGTTGAACTGTCTAATCTATCACCTCTAAGGTTTCTTAATCCAAGTTTTTTTAAACGTTCCCGTGCAAATATAAAATTCCTTTTCTATAGCCTCTAACTCTTGTAGCCATTTGAAATGTTGTATAATTGGACCAATTAAAAATTCGAATGGATAACACCATTGAAACTAGGATTAAAACATCCATGAAGTATGACCAGAGTTGTCCCCCTTTGAACATATTTGTGTAGACGCGATTTGGTTAGCAAATGCCAAATACAATTCTGTTCTGAATTTGGAAGGACGGAAAGTTAGAGATCTTAAAATTGATTGGGTCGCAGAGAAGCGGACCACGGTTATGACCGATGTCATATGTAATATGCGTCACTATCATGCATAAGTACGCAACCTTGATTTTTTTTCAGATTGTATCGCCATGACCTCAACACTTGTTCCTCGCGTCGCAAGAATTCAGTTTTATGGTCGTTCGTCTTTCACAAATTTCGAAAATGACAACAGAGTAGGGTTGAGTGAAAATTTGTGGAAAGAGTTGATCAGTGAATTAACTGTGGACGACGAATGTTGGTAAAAAAAAAAAAAGAAAGAAAGAAAAGAAAAGAAAATATGCCCTTGATTACCCCTTGTAAATGTCATTTTTTTATTTAAAATTTCAATTCATTCTTTTAGCTTCTCAAGCGACGTCAAAATCTTTCATTTGCGTTTCAATAACTCCGTCCAAAGAAACTCGAAAGAGTCCTTTACAGAGGTGTAAAGAAAAGTCTTCTGGTTCACCGATATATTCATCTATTATCACTTACGGGAGATTACACCCTCTTGAGAATTTTAAGACTCCACAGGTATGCCCCTGCGACATAAGGATGAATTCTTTGCAATTGAGGGTTTATTTAAATTTATTCTTTTAGGATCACATTTGTTACGTTTCCGAAGATTTTGCGAAACAAAATTTTCTCCATAATGGATCAATCGTCGAAGTTGATAATGCAAGTCCGGTCGAATTGGAAGAAGTTGTATTGGGCGCGTTGGATCCCAGGTCTTACGAACTAACATTAAGAGGTGTGTTTTGAACAAATTTATAATTTTTGGTAAGTGAATTTCTCGTAGGGTGATTTTTTTAAATAGTTTTTTTAAAAATTTCTTTTTCATGTCTCCCGACAATTGACTACTTCACTATCGGCTCTATTCTCAAAATAAAATAAAAGACCCTCCTGCAATTTCAAATCATCTTTGCACCTCCTCTACTCCGATCATAATTCGTCACGGGCAAATCTATCAATTGCAGAATTTGCCCACAAGCGAAAGTATTTCTGCGCCGTCTTTCGACTTTGTAGTTCTTATGTGTAACCCAGTTCTACAGGGTATTATTACGAGTCATACCAATTGCATCATAACAGACATGTCTGAGAAATCTCCGGATGGTATTTCCCAAGATGAACAGGAATTAGACCGTGATACTTTGGAGCTCGACAATAAGAATGAATTTTTGGATCAGAATATCTTGGATCCAAAGGACAATTTTCTTTTAGCTTTTCTCGATGTTAGCAAGCAGGATCAGTTAAATGAGGAGGAATCAAACAAGACATCCTCAAACATATCGTCTTCATCGGATGAGGAAGGCACGAACAATGAAATACCGGTCCCATTCAAGCACAAATTTTTTCCCCTTATCCTGGAGTTACCCTATCCAACGAGCATGTTGCAACCGACTCCAAACGAAAAAGACGACCCGGAATCGAGAGTTCTGGTTAATTTGAAAGAACTGGTGAAATTGGGTCTACAGAGTGGAAGTTGGGTATGGGCAGATTTTATTAATGACCAATCAAATTATATAATAGAAGAGTTTCCAATGTCTCTTTTTTCCTTAATCACAAGGTCCTAGTGTCTGGTCCCAAGATGGAGAAAACCAGGATGTGCAAAGTTTACGCAGTCGAAGTTCCAGCATCAACAGAGTACGTTGAATTCGTTTTACTATTATTAGAACTACATGATTGATATTGAAAATGTTTAATTTAAAATTGTAGATTAAATGCGTCTGATACAAAATACCTATAGGCATCCTTTTCCTCCCGCATATATTTCCCCGATTCTTTATTTTAATCTTGACTTTGACAACGTTGTCGCCTCAACAGCGTCTGATAAAGAGTTATACATTCAACCAATCATGCGAGCGCAATCCGCAGCACCAATCGCCAAAAATATTTCAGTTTCAAGGATAGCCTCTCCCTATTCGACGGATAGAAATATTTATAATGCTAGCATTAATGGTCTAACAAAATGGTTTGAAGACGCGGACAGAATAGTATGCGAGGGTGATATAATACCAATACTGATAGATGGTAATACTAGATTGAATCGTTGAACTTGACTTTCTTGAATTGTATATTTTAATCACATTCTTCCTCACCATAGAAGAGGCTGCACGTTTGAGGCCGCAAAAATCTGAAGGGGACATCGAAGAGTTGGAGGACATGGATATTGCTACCGTACCAATTAAGCCTAACATCATTGTATATTTCAAGATATCTATGATGAAGTTGAAACATAATAAAACCCGGTTTATTTACGGATATGGGAGACGAGTTGATCCAGTTAATACTCGACTTATGCAAACTGGAATGGAACACGCAAGAGTACCCGCTTTGAAGCGCTACTTCAATATAAAAACAGAGACCCCCGGTTTCTCATTTATTAATTCTGCCCTCATCGCACCCGAAACCCCATATGCACAACTTTTGAGTCTTATCTCCTCGTGTCTACATCCAAATGCTGCGTCATTGAATCTTAGCTGTACCGTTCTTCTACATGGACTCCGTGGATGTGGTAAAAAGACAACAGTCGAATGGGTGGCGGAGAGAGTCGGAGTACACGTGTACGAAGTGAACTGCTTTGAAATTTCAGGAGAAACCGACTCGAAGACGGAGCAGTCGCTCCGCGGAAAAATTGATAAGGCTGTAACGTGTTCACCATGCGTGTTCTTGTTGCGTCATATCGACGCATTAGCTAAGAAGAGTGTGGCTCTCGAAACTGGTCAAGAACCCACCATTTCTACTGTATTGCAAGATAGTTTCAAGCAATTGGTGGAAAATTTTCATAAAATAGGTCATCCAGTTCTCGTAGTGGGAACTACAAGCGATATTGATAAAGTGCCCGCAAGCGTTATAGGATGTTTTAGACATGAGATCAAATTCGAGGCACCCGATGAACCATCTAGATTAGAGATATTAGAAAATTTAACTAGAGAGACTCCGGTCGCACCAGATGTTTCATTATCTTCATTGGCAACGCAAACTGCCGCGTTGGTCGCGAAAGATTTGGTGGATTTGGTTGCTAGAGCCGGGTTGGCGGCACTCGAACGAGTTGGAAAGGTCGTGACCAAAACGAAACAATCATTGAAAGACATTGATCTCGTTCACGCTGGTATTGCGTTGACTGCGACCGATTTCGATGAAGCCCTGGGCAAGGCTAGAGCTTCTTATTCTGATAGCATCGGAGCTCCCAAAATACCAAATGTTACATGGGATGATGTTGGAGGTCTTGCATCTGTCAAGGACGACATTCTAGATACTATTCAATTGCCATTGGAACACCCGGAGCTATTCACCACTGGCATGAAGAAAAGATCGGGAATATTGCTTTATGGACCACCAGGCACAGGAAAAACCCTGTTAGCGAAAGCCGTGGCCACATCGTGTTCTTTGAATTTCTTTTCTGTTAAAGGTCCCGAGTTACTGAATATGTATATTGGCGAATCTGAAGCAAATGTTCGGAGAGTATTTCAACGGGCCAGGGATGCCAAACCATGTGTCATCTTCTTTGATGAATTAGACTCGGTTGCTCCAAAAAGAGGTGAAAAGGGTGATTCGGGAGGTGTGATGGACCGAATTGTCAGTCAATTGTTGGCCGAATTAGATGGGATGGGGCAAGGAGGTGGTGCTTCAGATGTATTTGTTATTGGCGCCACAAACCGACCGGATTTGTTGGACCCTGCATTGTTAAGGCCCGGAAGGTAGGTTATTGATGTCTTTTAATTTATAAGGGATTTCAGCACACACCTTGGGTTCTCAATTTTGAACTTTATTATACGATAGGTTTGACAAACTTCTTTATCTTGGTGTCAGTGAGGATAACGAGACGCAACTTAAAATTATTCAAGCTCTCACGAGGAAGTAAGTAATTGGATATTCAAGATTTTGAGATGACATTTTGTTAATAATTCTTTTTTTGACCCAGGTTTCGTTTGCATCCATCTCTGGATCTTCGATCTGTGGCCGAGAGTTGTCCATTCAGTTATACGGGTGCTGACTTTTACGCGCTTTGCTCAGATGCTATGCTGAAAGCTATGTCGAGGGTCGCAGAAGCGGTGGAAGCTAAAGTTGGTATGCGAAACTAAAATAAGATCGTCAAATATATTTATTTGATCTTATTTTTTTAATTCATAATTATTCATATCAGTCTATCTGAATGCCCATCCGACACCAAATCTTCCAATCCCTGTAACGTCGCAATACTATCTTAATCATCTTGCCACTCCCGAGGACACTCTGGTTGAGGTGACACGGGAGGATTTCGATAGAGCCTTACTGGAATTGGTTCCTTCAGTTTCAGAAAAAGAATTAGAACATTATCGTAGGGTACAGATGGGATTTACTCAACAGATGGAAGGGAAAGCAAAGGAGAAAGATGCCACCTATTCTCTACCGTCGTCCAGTAATAACGGGTGGAGCGAAGACTATCTCAGTAATGAAGGTCGTGCTAATGGGGACATTAGTAGTTATAATTCGGTTAATAAAGGCAAGGGAAAGGCGACAGTTAGTTAATTGAGATGAATTTTTTTAACTCTGGATAAATATCGTGTGGGCTTTGTTGAGAAAATGTTTTTTTCTAATAAGGTCTTTTAGTTGTACTATGAATTTTTTTCTAATAAAAATTGCATAGAATCTTAAGTGTAAAATATAAATAACTTTAATGTTAGTGATACACATTGCTTGATTAAAACCAATACTTTAAAACCATCCTGGTTACAAAAAATTTATTATTTTGTGGTTTTTGGTATAAAAAAAAAATTTTTTTTCTTAATAATTTTTTATTAGGTTGTTATATATACTTTATTAAACTATATATTTTTATATGTATCACTAAAGCCAAATCTTTTTAACTAATTTATTTATCTTAATTATTATAACTTTAAATATAACTTTAAAAGTAACTTAAATAAAAATCTTTTTAGTTATTAATATTATTATACAAATTATTATTATGAATTATTACTATAAATCATTACTTGAATTTTGACAAAAATCGAAATTCAATTATTTTATAATATTTTTAATCTAATTTTCATGATTTTAAAAAAACTTTAGCTTTTTATTATTTTTATATAGATTTCATTTTCTTAAGAATTATTGAATAAATAATAATACTTTTTTAATTTTTTCTTTTTATTAACCTCCTTGTTTTTTTTTCAATTTAACAATTTTTTATATCTATGATTTCAATCTTTTTTTTGAAATAATTAAAAAAATTTTTTATATTTAAGAATTTATTTTTTTATTTCAGTTATTATTTTTTTTTCATGATCTTAATTTTTAAGTTATTTTTAAGTTAGATTATTTTATAACAAATTTGTATCAAAATTTAAGATATTTTATTTATTATTAAAAATTTGATTTGTAATTTTGAAGATTTAATTATCTAGTTTATTAGTTACTAGTATATTATCTATATCTATTTAAATTATTTTTTCTATAATTTTATTATTACTATTATTTTTTTAAAAAATTATTAATATACTAATATATATTAATTCTTTTATTACTTTTATTTTTATAATGCTTATAACCTTATTAAATTATAGTTTACTAATCAATAGAAAATAAAAATATATTATTATTTTAGCAGTATAACATATATTATAGTTAAACTTTTATAAATTAATCTAATTAATTTGTTATAGATAATAATAATCTTTAGATTTGACTTGAAAACAATATTTTATTTTATAATAAACTTTAAATAAAAATACTTTTAGTTCATATATTATTGCTAATATATTAATATTGTCATATACTATGATCAAATTTATATTTGACCGGTGTGTCCAAGTGGAATTGCTTTTAAAAGGACAATTTCCAAAGAAAGAATTTAAAGAAATAGTTTATAGTAAAGAAATATTCAAGAAAAGATTTATCAAGAATCCTTTAAACAGTGTCACAAAGTGTTTCCAAAGAAATATAGTTTGCTCAGAACCCAAGTTTATTAATAAATCAAGAAAACTAGGACAATTCCTTTAGTCCTAAAATCAAAAGAAGATATCC